CATTCACCTCAAGACGTCTTTTAACGTGGTTAGGCACTTTCCTGTTACAACGCCATGTACGAGCTTTGCTTGGGCTTAGCCCATGATTATGCTCTAAATTAACAACCGAAATGGTGCACGCACCTTCTATATCGACTGAGGCAGTGATTCGGGCTGTGCAACCCAACTGCATTGTGGGTTGTGCATTTAGATTCTTTTTACTCCGCTTCTCCCGATTACCCTCTCTGCCACAAGTCATTGTCACACTTCGTGTCATACCATCATTTCCTTTTCTAGAGCTTCTTTTGCGAATTGGAAATCCCTTTTTTTTAGCATATGCATGATAGAAATTATATAGTGCTTCGTAGTTTTTGAAACGCATACCGACCGCTGGCGTTGCATCCACAACGTTGAAGGACTCACCCTCTTGTCTTTGCTGTTGGTCGGAAGTATTCCCAATCAAGGATCCATTACATTGTCCCATTAATCCATTATCAATCACTTCATCTTCACCGTTGGCGTGAACGTGTGTTTCCAGACCTACACACATAGCAGTACATGTTAACTATTTCATTTTGCACGTACATATTCTGTCTGTGCAAGCTATCCAGGACGATGTTGCACCTACAAAATCTGTCTGTGCAAGCTATCCAGGATGAAGTTGCACCTACATAATCTGTCTGTCCATTGCAATCCTTGTCTATTCAGTATTTCATAAAGATGCCCCTATGTACAACTTACAGTTTATGGTGTTTGCACTAGTCCCCAATGCCCCCTGGACATGCAAGTCTCCCTCTTCTTCTAACAACGTCATGAAAGTAGTTGCATCACGTACATTCGTTATACTTGCAAATGAAACTGCGAAGATTGAAAACCACATTTATTACTCCATAAATTATATCTTAAAAACACAAAGTATTTTTACACGACTCTTATACACTAAAGAACTTACTGGGATGTGGGTTCAATATTACTCCATCACCACCAAAGTCACACATTTCTTGTGCTTCACATTCATCTCTTAAAAAGCCCACAAAAGCTGGCTCAATTCCCAAATTCTCAACCCCATCATATAGGCCTGACATCAACAATGAGAAAATTACTTTAGAACTCATATAAATTAATGCTCAAATCCAATATATGCATGTCATTACTTACTACTGTTGTTTTCAAAAATACTCATGAAACTACTTCCGACATCCAAGTTGTCATTGCCCTCTAAAATGCCTGCACGTAAAAAAACAACTTTAAGCATGCTAACATATTGCACAGATATGTATTGATGGTGAGAGCTACAGTCTGCCACATTGCACAGATATATTTTGCTGGTGCAACACTTCACTGAAAAGAGAGGATAACTGCCCAACCTTTACACTTTATGTAGGTTAAACCCAAATCCAACCTCATTCCACACACATAATTTCTGGGTCAAAAACATATACAACTAAAACCAAAGAATTATGCTCCAACCTGACATTGTCCGTAGGTGATACCTACATACTGCCTAATTGCACTGACATAATTGTTGGTGCAAAAGAATTACACCCGAAAGCAGATAATTATTGCCCAACTAGGTCAAACCTGCAGCGTATCATCTTGCACACTCCTAATTCCTGGTCCATAACTAAAAGCATATAATAAATTCCCAACAACAGCTTTCAATTTAATAAGAATCCTATGTCTAATGTTATGCAGAGAATGTTTCTGAAATTATTGCTAGTAAATTAACCATTTGCAAGACTTCTTTAAAGTATAAGAATCCAGGGGTAAAAAGTCTTTTCAATGAACCATCTCTTTCTACCTGTTTATAACTAAACTGTAACATAACACAAACATATAGTGCTAGTGCAATAATAAATAATCACCTGCTATAATAGGAGATGTCGGCGTAGCTTCATACATTCTTCCGTAGTTAAACTTCGATTCTGATGATGTTAACTAGCCGTCGGTCATCGTTCTTCAAATCTCGGCGGCTTGGGTCATCGTTCTTCACATCTCGCGACTTGGTCCTTTGCTCTTCCTGTTCCCTTTCGCCGATGATGCTAACTAGCCGTCGCACTACTTCCCTTTCTCCGATGATGCTAGCACTCCGATGATGCTGTGATTTTTTTTCCGCGCGAAATGAGAAGAAAAAGGGGGGAAAAGAATCGGTGGGTGAGAGAGGAGAGAGGAGAGAGACTAGACAGAGGTATGGGGTAGGATTGGGTGGGATTTAGTGGTATGTAGGGTGGGGGTATATGGGGTACACCACTGGGGTACAAAGTGGTGTACCCATAGCACGATTGTTGTAATAGATTTGGTTTATGGCACCTTTTTATTTACTTTATAGATAGATGCACCACTTTAAAAAAGATTGACATGACAACTCATGTGATTTGACACTGCTGATTTTACTTTTTAGATAGGCCCAATCTGATTTGACATAGCCCAGTTGCCCAGCCCGCTATAGCCCATCCCGATTTTTGGCCCATGAAGCACCCTACGTTTTGGCGGGAACACTGTTCCAAATAGGATCCAAGCATTATATATAGTAAGATAGTAGATACCGATCCATCCCCTTTGTTCTGTTTTATCTACTCTATTAATATATAATTCTAATTCTATATACTCATTCTTTAATTAATTAAGTTACTTCAAGTTTCAACCCAAAACTTATTAAATTTATTTAGTCTTAACTCCAAAGTCCATACTCCAGAGCCCAATTCCATCTCATTATTAAGCTAATTCACTTTTAAAATTTTAATACACAATTCTCTAAAATTCCATTAGACAATGGCTAATTGCTTAGTGTACACAACTAGGTTTTGGATGTCTTTGGGAGTTAATGACTACTATTTATGATATTTTGCAACTTTTGGATTGAGTACCCCCTTTTTATATTCGGGATTAGGACAAAGCGGGATAACCGGAATCCATCCCAGTTTGTTCCGATTTCAAATTTTATGGGACAAATCGATGTGTCATAACAAAGTTTTCATCGCTTATTATATGACATGTCTATAGAGAATTTTTCATTGGATGGATCATAAGCACTCTTTTTTATTTTTATTTTATGGTATAACCACTTCAAGAAATTAGAAAGGAAAAAAATGGTATGAAAAATAATTTGTCTTGTTTGGTTTGAGAATTAAAAAAAAAAAGAAAAGTGAAGAAAAGAATGAGAGAACAAACTAAGAAATGGGAATACAACTCTTCTTCCATTTTGGTAAGGAAAAACAAAGAAATGTTTCTTTTCTTTGAAACTTTCACCAACCAAACATAGTGTACTAGGAGAAAGGTTTGTCTATGTGTGTGGTTGTCTACTGGTCAAATACAACTAGTTTTTGGATGTCTTTGGGAGTTAATGACTACTATTTATGACATTTTGTGACTTTTGGATTGAGTACCTCCTTTTTATATTCAGGATTAGGACAAAGTGGGACAACCGGAATCCATCCCAGTTTTGTTCTGATTCCAAGTTTTATGGGACAACCCGGGATAAGATTGTAATTTGAACCATTCCGGACCATTTATATATAACAGGATAAGACGTGGAACAACATAAATCCTGTCCATCCGGATCTGTGCCCCCCCCTCCAAATTAAAACTAGGCTTCATTTGGAGCACACAATTAAGTGGTAACGATCCATGAATAAATTACGATAGAAATTGATGGTATAAATACCGTGTAAATATCAAGTGGTAATGAGTGGAAGGACTGTAGGTGCAAACACCTCTCGCCCGATTTGTTATTAATGATTCTAGGACTGTTTACAAGCTATTACCCATATGGATTAATTAAAGCATGTCCCACAAATGAGACTTTTAGTCATATTTACAATAATTACTAACACGTCTCCGCCCCTCCAGCCGGTCAGTCCCCAACCGGTTAGCTTGCATGCCTTCATAGATGAAACCATGTTTGTGAATCCGAATCTTCCCAACCCAGACTGGTCAGACTGCTCGGGTCAACCGGGTCATAGGGCATTGAATTTGATACCTTCCGGTCGGTACGAACCTACCAGATGGAATTCATGAGTTATTACCCATGAGAAGTAATGGGGTAAATCAAATGAAGTAGAAATGTAGAATGATGATGGGGTCTTCTACTTAAAAGGTTATTATTGTCCATCTATTAAATAAATAGGAACATTTTAGGGGTACACCAAAAATGTACTCCAAACATCCCCCATTCCCTCCATCACCACAAAAACATAAGAAAACTTCAAAAAGAAATAAAAAATAAAAATAAAATAAAATGCAAGGTATAGTACGACCATTTTTTATTTTTTAACTTATAAAAAAAGAGGCATGTGATGGGAACTAATCCCATCGAGAGAATACCAATAAATTGAGCATTGGCCCAATTTAGGATTTATATATCATAAAGGATACTCCCTCCGTCCTACTGTCTTTGTCCACTTACCTTTTGGCACACCATCCGATGCAATTTTTTAATTCATTTTATCTTGTAATTTGTATATTAAAAAATTATAAAAATTATATATTAATAATCTATATGTTAAGACGAATCAATCAAGATCACAAATGACTATTTTTAGGCTTACACATTGAGAGAATTTGATGAGTCAAAGTGCTTAGATTAACAATTCCAAAAGTCAAAAGTGGACAAACACAATGGGACGGAGGTAGTATGAATGATGACGTAGACAAAGTTAAAGACTTTCAAAACAGAGTAAGTTAATACTATTTTTAATTTATAGTTTTGATCTAATTACTAAATAAATTTTCTGTTTATTATCATGCAGTGGAGATAATTTATCTCAAATGTGTAGCATCATATCCACGTAATCTGGAACAAAGGCTGATCCACGCATTACGGATATGACAATAATATCCATCCGAGATCTCAAAGCTATGAAAATTGTAAGATAATTAATTAAATACTAAAAAAAATAGAAAAAAGTATTAAAATAAAATTAAAGTAAGCTCCATGTAATTATTTCAAAAAATCTTTAAAAGTATATAAATGTACATGTACTTTTGTGTGATGTTGATATTAAACTTAAAATTTAAATTCATTTTTAAAATTTTCATACTTTGTGTAATATTAAATGTAACGAGGAATTAATGTGTGATTATTTATAGAATAATGTAAGACTAGATAAGCATTTCTAATTATGCGCGAAAATAATTTAATAGCAAAAACGATATATGTATGTAACTTCAATGACTACAATATATGAATGAAACTAAAGATGAAAATTTTTCTTATTTTCCTTAATAATATATTTATTATTATTTGCAGAAGAGATATCATGGGATAATTAGTGATGTGGTTGAAATTGAAAACACAGTTGAATGGTGCTAACTTGGTTGTAAGGCATGCAACAGTAAGATTGTGCCAGATGGTTCGCGATTTAAATGCAAGAGAGATTATCCCGATGGAGTGTATAAGTTATAAAATATATATTTTTTAATTTTAATAAATTAATTAATGACAATTTAAAATTTGATAAAAAAAATATACACTTTATTTGATATGTACAAGATCAGTGTCCTTTTATTGACAGCTCGGATAGTGCTTTTTTAATAGTTTGGGATAAGGAATGTGTCAAACTTTTTAATATGCAGACTAGCACGATGAGAACCTTGGTCTATGAGGTATGAAAATTCATATAAAATGTTTTTAATAGGTAGTTTAACAAAATATTTGCTTAATGTAATGTGCTAATTCATATCCATGAATGCCATAGTAGTAGGGGTGAGCATGTACCGAACCGATACTGAAATTTCCCGAAAAAACTGAGAATACCGAACCGAAAAGATACCGAGAATGAATCGAACCATACCGAACCGAATGGTCGGTATGGTATTTGGGAACGGTACGAGGGGACGTCCCATACCGAAAATCCCGAACCGAACATATATACTAAAATATTATAAAATATATTACCCCGGAGTAATATTTTTATATGCATTCACTAAATAATACTTTGGGTTATTTAAATAAATATTTCAAGTTTTATTATGTGTAAATTATACTTTTATTTGAGTTTTAATATTTGTGTGTGAACATAAAAGTATTCACAAATATTTGAAATACTCCTTTATTGTCGTTCATTTTTTAGTTTGTGAAATGTAAACTAAGTTTTGACAGCCTTCAAAAAAAACTAAGTTTTGATATGCATCTCTTGCATTTAAATATCTTTTTTTTAATTTTCCATGTTTTTTTTATTTAAATTCACTTTTTAATTTTCAAAAATAAAGGGGTATTGTTAAATTTTAACGTGTAAAGTAGGTATTTCTATTCATTCCAATTTGTACCGAAACCGATACCGAACCATCTCGTACCATACCGAACCGATATTTCGGGATCGGGATCGGTATGAGGTAAAATCCCATACCGAACCGAAATATTTGGTACGATATCGGTACGAGCAGAATACCGTATCATGCTCACCCCTACATAGGAGCATGATACATTTATGAACCGTGCAATGGATAGGTGTACTACTAGTTCCCAAAATCCCAAATAAAACAGGTCCAAGTCCTGTCTCTTGTCCATTTCCCCTTCGTTTCCCCGACTCCCTCTTTGGTTCGGCCTTCAAGAATTGCTGGAAATCAAAGAGACTACAGACGCCTCTGCTAGTCGGCCACTTGCCTATTCTTTTCCCGCCAGACAGCGCTGGCAGCCCGTCAGGTATTATTAATTAATCTAGGGATCTTTTTCAATCTTTCATACTTTCATTCTTTGGCTTTAAAATCTAGGGTTAAATATTAAGTAATAATCTAAAATCTTTGCTAATTGCTATGAAATATCAATGAATTTATGGTTCCATCTGTTCTTTATTTGATTTGGACGAATTGATATGAATGGATTGAAATAAGAGAAGAACCTGAAAGAGAATCCACAAACTCTCCATTGATGAATGACTTAGTGAACTTTATGTTTGGAACTTTAGCATGAGACCCCCCCCCCCTCCATATTCCCTTTGGACTGTGAACGTTCCATTATTTCCTATATCTCTGATACTCCACATATTTTTTGTTTTTGGCTTTGGAGTTTAATAAAAATAAATACTTTTACTTATTTCTTTTTAGTATATGGTATGGTATAGTATAGGCTAAAGTCCACCATTAGTCCTTCAACTTTGTGGGCTGTGCACAATTAGTATTTCAAGTTTCAAAAGTTCAGAAATAGTCTTTCAAGTATTTAACAACCTCTAAATATAGTCCTTCAAGTTTCAATGGGTGCCTATATATAAATTCCGGCTCAGTTCCAGATGCAACTTCCGACCTGCAATGGGTGCCCGGCGCTGTCCCCATCTTCAGAGCAGCACAGCAAATCTTTCCTCCCATTGTAAATGCTGGAGATAATTTTACTTTCAAAGAGGTTCAATTTGTACATTAAAAAATACAAAACTTTGATTGGAATTGTTGAAACCCGTTAATTTCCTGTATGTACTATATATATATATATATATATATATATATATATGTATGTATGTATGTATGTATGTATGTATGTATGTATGTATGTATGTATGTATGTATGTACAGGGGCGGATCTACAGCATTGCATATGGGGGCAACTGCCCCCGGTGATTTTTTTTTAATATATATATATATATATATATATATATATATATATATATATATATATATATATATATATATCATATTATATATAATTGCCCCCAATTTAAAAAAAAATCTGCCCCCACTGGCCCAAAACAATTAAATGGGCTAGAGATCCAATCCAAAATTAGCCCAATCCAAATTCCCATAAATTAAAAAGAATTTCCCCCCTTCCCTTTGCTTTTGGAGAAATCTAGAAGAGGAGCGGAGCAATTGAAGACCGATTCTGCAGATTGCCGAATGGCCGTCGTCGTCGCCGCCGAGAAGAGGAGCGGAACAGTCCGCCGCGTCGCCCCGAGCAGTCGAGCACCACCTACCAGGCACCAGGTATTTCCAAATAATTTTGTCTCCTTTTTAAATTATGGACTAAATAATTAGGTAAATCTGAAAATTAGGTTTATGTGTAATTTGTGAAACCTTTTGAATAATTTGTTTTTATATTTCAATTTTCTATTTGATGAAATTGTTTCTAATGTTGAATTCTTGATTATTATTAATTATATTTTATAATTGTCCCAAAACATATGAATTGATGACTCTAGTCTCTAAAAATATATTAATTCTCAATTGAAATATTTAAATAATTTTCTCTAATTTTTGGACATAGATTTAGTGAAAAAGTATATTTCATTTTATGTTTTTAGATAATGGAGAATTTTTAAACGGAAGTCCCCCTCAACACCGACAACAAATGATTCTGGACCATTTGTACCTTCAATAGTTAAAGAAATAGATTTAAGTGATCTTCCGTGGGATCCTTTAGACAGAAAAAAGATTTTAGAGTATCACCCTAATCAAAAAGATGAGATAAGAAGAAAATATTTGATTAGGGGACTGTGTCAACCGCGTGGCCATGATTTTCAGTCAAACATCGTAAACTGAAATAGGCGCTATAAATTAAATTGGGATGGATGGAGTATAATTTTACTAATTTTAAAATATTTTGTTTTTCTTATTTTAAATTTGTTTGATATAAAATTAATTTTTTCATCATGATATAAAGTACATTTTTAAAAAAAATCGGGGGCTCTGCCCCCGAACCCCCGCTTTGCTATACTGCCCCCAGTCATTCACAATCCTGGATCCGCCACTGTGTATGTATGTATGTATGTATGTATGCATGCATGCATGCATGTATGTGTGTGTGTGTGTGTGTATATATATAAGTAATGATATGTTTTTTTTAAACATGTATTGTGAAAAGGACTGCATTTTGAGGGTTAATGAATACTTGAAAGACAACTTATGGGCTTTTGAATATTGAGGAACTGTATGTGGATGGTTATGAATATTTGAAGGACTATTTATAAATTTTTGAAAATTGAAGGACCAAACGTGCATAGCTCATAAAGTTGAAGGACCAATCATGGATTTTAGCCTATAGTATATTATCTTGGGGGTATTAATATTTATTAGCTGTGGGCGTGGTGGCTGGGTGGGTGTGAGAATAATCTCCGAACGAGATTGAAGATTTTAGGAACTGAAAGAGATTGAAGGTTTTAGAAATCGTTTGTTTGGACAAATTGGTATGAATGGATTGAATGAACTGCTATTATATTTTAAAAAATTTGGAAAATTAAAGTTTGTATTTTACTCCGTATTTTACTAAGTATTAGAAATTTTGAATTTGGATTTGATTTTAGAAATAACTCAGTAGCTATGGGTCCTAAACATCTATCCGGCAGTCAAAAACGTAAAAGAGAAAACGAGATGAAGAAATGAGAAAGTCTAAGTTGAAGCTCTATGTAAGCGTATGAAACATGTTGTTGTCATTTAAATATAATTAATTTACTTTAAATTCTTAGATCATTAGGGATAAGATTTTTAGGGCTTTTTTTGTCTTTGCTCATGCCGTTGAATTCTCAGGTTTGGTTCTGCCGCAGTGAATCTTTCTCTGCATTATGGATGTCATGAAGCTACTAAACGATTACCCCTTTACTACACTAAATGATCTGGACAAGTTTTTCTTCAGTTGTGATACTTCCAACGCGAGTGATTGCTTTGCGTATGCCCTGAAGTTTCTGGAAAAGTACCCCTATGTTACAATGCAAGATGTGGAGAAGCATATAATCCGTGGTAGCACTCTCTCGGTGATTGATACTAAAATTTGTACTATCAATTCCAACCGAGAAAAAGAAAAACTTTTTGGCAGAGAACATTTTGAAGCTGGGCCTTTGCTTCATGTGCATTCAGTACATGTAAAACCAGAAGATGCTATAAAAGACAAACCACTCTCTGTATATGGTACGATCCGGGTTAAGTATGAACATATCAAGAGTGGAAAACCAATGCAGCTTGATGTTTACAACCGAAGTTCTGATGATGCCGACTACATTAGCCCTAGAGGTGGTGATTTAGCTCTTGGTTGGCCTAACACTTTCCCTAATTGTAATGATATGTGGGTGGGATTGCAAGGAACAGGCATAGAGGTGGATCTCTATCTCAAAATTGGGGATGAGGGTGTTCCGTTGGT